CCTTAACAGCAACCCAGATTAAAGGACCTTGAGTTCCTGAAGCATGGCCCCGACTCCGACAACGCTTGAATCCCAAAAGCTGCACTCGCAGACCTCCCAAGCAATCCCCAAGAAGCGCCTGTGAGGCAGAGCCCAGCGCTCCTTCACGAATAAGGCGCGCGGACAAGCGCCTCATACAGCTTCCTCAAAGCACATGGATGCTGCTTGGTGCAGTTTTGGCTTCCGGGATGAATCTAGGGATTTAGGGTCTAGTGTTTGAGTGTCTGGGTTGGGTTGGGCTAGGCCGCAACCTGAGTTTTGTGGCAGTTGTTCTGGTCATAGCCTGCTGTTGACTAGTTCCGGACGCTCCGGCTGAGAGGATTCGGAGCATCATTGTCCTTATGATCAGCCGCCTTTGGTGGCTTGGGCTTGTTCAAGGCAGCAGAGCCAAGTAAAGGTATTTGATCCCAATGCCCCTTCCTAGTTGAAGAGGTGTGGGCAATGATCAGAAGGGACCCTCATGAAGTTGTTCAGGTGATTGTTTGATGGCTTGGTCGCATTACTTTGAGCTCTGCCTTGCTTTGGAAAGAGAACATCTCGGGATCGCCTTCTTAGGGTCTGAAGTTTAGGATTGTCTTGTCCAAAACCACCCAGGGTATTGATTACCATGGAGTTCTATTGTAAAGATGTACACCTTGAAAACCAGGTAAAACAACTCTCTAGAAAATTCAGGAGGTGCCTAAACACGCAAACTTCCGCATTATCACCCCGAATTACCTCCAAACTCCGCAAATTCATTGTTAAGATTCTCTTTCTGGCCTTTTGGAAAGTCGTCCCTCTTATTCCCTTTTGGCGGTAGTCTTCCCTAGGATCTATGGCCCTCTGGGTTTGTACAATCCGCATATGCACTACAATGGCAGCAAGCCTATCCGCATCCTGAGAAAATCACCAGGCGCGTTGGTTGGTTCCTGTACACCAATGAGTTGCTTGGGAAAGTTGCGTTGCTTGGCCCAGAGTTACGATTGGTCTGCTGCTGGGAACACGAGGCCTAAGCATGAGGTGGCCAAAGAAGCACTTGTCTAAACCCTAATCCTTAAACCCTAAGCAGGGAAGGCAAGCCACTGTTGATTCCCAAGTGCCTGCGCTTGATTTCCTAGCTTTTGAACATGAAGATGGACAAGTAGCTTTGAGGACGCTTAGCAGCTCCTTCGCTGCTTTGCTGGGGGACTCGCTGCTGCCTGCATGTAAAAGCTTAAAACTGAGATCCGTTTGAGCGGTTAGGAGTTTGGGGCGTGACCTTTGAGATTCAGGGTGCTGGCTGTGTCAGATGCTAAAGTTGCCACAGCCTCCATCTGTTGCATAGGTGGCCGATTTTGTTAAGGTCTTTCGTTGAACAGGTGTTCTATCATTGGTGACTGTTGCGATTCCTGCTGTCTTCTTTTGCTAGAGCGGACTCTCGCATGGGAGACCTGACCCCAATCTACACCACCTAACGGCATGTGCGTGAAGGTCTTGAAATGACAAGTTCTCCTTGGTAGCTTCTGCTCCCTGGAAGTACACCTCGTCTCAAGGCAAAGTGATAAAGGTTTCAAGGCTTGACATGCCTTCGCTCAAGTGAAAACAGACATCCCCGCATTTTGTTAGCCCGCTTAATCCTTGTCTTCCTGGTGGTGAGTAGGGTACAAGGGAACATAATCCCTTTACAACCCCCACGTAATGTATTCCTTTATTCCCTACTAGCCCCCGGTAGGTTGTTCGTGTTTCATGTTGGATTCAGGGACCGGCTGCTTTACTCGAAGTGAAGTTTGGAGTTCCGATGTGCTTTGGTGCTCGGCCTCCGCCCTCCCTCCCCTTACCGGGGGTTAGTAGGGAAGAACGGAGTACACTATGTGGGGATTAGGTAGGGATTATTTCCTTTATTCCTTGCTAGCCACCAGTACGTCGCTCTCTCTCTCTCTCTCTCTTTCTCAGTGTCTGTCGTTGTTTCGTAGTCTCTGTCTCCGTGAGCCGATATCTGCAAGCGTTTTTTCTGCAATCTCTATGGCTGCGCATATCACCCACCAAGAGAGGCTAACAGTCACACTGAGCTGTCAGTGCTAGCAACAGCCGATAGAAGTAAACGTTCTGATGTTGGTAAGATAGGAACGGTGGTGAGGTGAGTTTCTGCCAATTGCTGGCTTGCTCTTCCTGCTGCCATCAAGCTCGACCCAAGATGTAGGTTTTTGGTGCTGATACTTGTTGCTCCTATACTCTGGCTAGCGCGAGTAGGTATACAAGGTCTATATGGTCCATCAGGGTTTCTGCTCAACCCCTCCATGTGTGTTTTGCTTGCAGCGGAAGGACGAGCGCAGTTGGCAGACATTAGCCCTTCGCGAGGCCATGGGAGAACCAACGTGTGATCTTGCCATGCCAGGTTCCAGGTTCAGGCAATCATTTTGGCATACAAAGTTGCAGGTTGTAAGTGATTGTGAAGAGATTTACATAGAGGTCTGGGGGAGTCGAGGAAATTGTATGTCGGAAAGAGAGCCAGTGAATAAATGTCTTCGAGGTTTGGGGTCCTAGGGTCAAGGTCTTGGGCTGAGGTTCGGGCCTCGGCCTCGGAGGGTTGGATGTGAGGTGTGGGGCTAAGGAAGTACTCCAGACCTACACGCATACTTACTCTTGTCGAAGTCGTAAGCTGTTCTCAAGAGGATTCTGGTAGCGGTTGACATGAGGTGGTGGTTTCAGATCGCAGGCAGTCCAGGAGGTGCATCGGGGCAGGTTGTATTTGTGATGAGCTACGCCTTGAGAATCGTGAATTTGAGCCGGGTGCACTCTGCCATGTCGCAGAACCTTTTCCTGAAGCAGAAGTTGCTTTGAAAAGATGTTAGGGCTTGACGCCTCAGACCGCAATGGGCTCCTGAGTGTTCAGCAGGGAAGTTTAAGGCCTAAGGCATTTCGCTGCAAACGCATCCTTGTCCTGATTCTGTACTAAGCCGCCCCCAGCCTCGGGTCAAGAGTGCTGTAGAGCATTGAGCCTGTGGTTCACAACCTTGGCATCTTCATCCCAGATGGGGTTTCTCCAAGTAAAGGGCCCTTAGTGGCTTAGAGTAGGCGAACTCTGCACACGAGTGGGCTGAATGGAGGGTGGGCCTGTGCAGCCCAATGTGAGAAACTTTGAAATCCTCTTGAGGGGGCGAGCGACGCCACAGAGAGACTTCTGAAGCTGACGCTTGGCTGTGTCTTTTCTATTAGGCGTCTCTTTGCCAAGGCCACGCTCAAGTTCCTATCAAGGCATGTGTCTTCCTTGTTATGCAACTTGCAGGGGTGGAACTATGTATCACAGCTAGGGCCCCTCAATGTAGTTAGCACACATGAGAGAGCGTTAAGCGCGGATTTCCAGAAGACACGGGCATCATCGCAGCACCCTCTTGTTGTGACTTGGGCTTAAGGGGCTTGAGTAGCATGCCAAGATATCATGCGAAACTAACTAAGGATGCTTGTGGAGGAGCAGGCAGGATGGCATTTGGCATGTGATGTCCATTAATACGGCTGCAGCCGAATCAACGCGCACTTCGAGCTCTAACACATTGCCTCAGGCAGGAGTAGCAACAAAAAAGAATTCAAGCACTCGCAGAAGCAGACTTATCTGGAGAGTGCGAGGCTGAATAGCGATCCTCATATAGAGCTGCTGACCCACAGCTATGCGAAACCATTCCAGGGTGATGCAGGCCAAGCAAACTTGGCCTCAGGGACTGAAAATTGAATTCTGCTGCTCCAAGGCTCCATAGTCTGATAGTACAGAATTACTACAACATGTTGACTTTTGCTACTACGATATTAGGACTATTACTATATTCTTCTTATTAAGATATTATCAGTATTACTACTACTGTATTCGTATTACAGATCCTACAGGCCGCAGCGACATTGGGGCCCAATGCATATTAACTGGGTGTGGCGCTAGCTCTGCCTTGTGCTTGAAGCTCCGGCAGGGCAACTTGCTAGACATAAACTTGATTTGCAATCAAACGCCTGCATGCCTGCATTTTGAATTGGTACCAAATTTGTTGCACATGGAAGCGAGCAGGAGCTGTGGAGTTGGCCATTATGTCAGGTATGGCCGGCTTGAATTTTAGGCATTTGCCAGGGCTGCAGGCCACATTTGCGGACCGAACCCAGAGTCATCGGATAGATAACGGTTATCTATGGGCAAGCTATGCGGTCCATCATGTTCTCGAAGCAGGATCCACAGTTGTTACGCATTCCCAAGACACCGGCCCAGCCTTCGACATTACTTGGGGGATCTTAGGAGGTGGACGCAGCGGAAGGTATTGGATGTGAAAACTTGGGAAGGTTGGGATTATGAATTGCAGAATTTTGACGAGGGGACCCAGCCGCAGGAACCTGCCAAGGATGCGAGTTGTCAAAACCTTGAATTTGACTGGTGGACCATCCGTTTGCAATCAAAGGGGCTACCTCAAGTTTTCGCAGTTTTGGAGCCAGCCAGCCAGAGCCATCCACAGACAGCCAGGTGCGGTTGGTCGATCTTGACCTATCTGAAACCAGCCCCAAGGCAGCGGCTCTGTTTGGACTTCGATTTCGAGTTAGGGCTTTAGAGTTCATATTAGATTTTTCTGAGGGTTCTAGGCAGATGAGCGATGCCCTAGACAGTCGAAGGCTTTTCTGCTGGCTTTTCCGCAAGCTCGTCTATGAGCAGAGTACACATCAGCGAAGCATGTTGGGTAGCAGGCTGCTTGAGGCATCAGGTTACTTCATTCAGTATAACGGTGCAATCGCTTGAGAGCATGTCTGTGTCCTTTGACTTTCAGCTCCAGACACTTTAACCCTGAGCCCCTCAGCGGCAACACCCCAAATCCTCGTCCAGCATAGCTCAACCATACACTTGTCGTGACACCCTCAATGTCTTGCAGACCCCGATGAAGCAACGACTTTGAGGCTAAAGGCCCTTTACACGGCGAATCCTTCGCATATTCCACATTCTGATAGCGTCAGCATCTCCAAGTTAGCGGCCATGTTTGTAAGTGCATTTGCCCCAGTGTCACTCATGCAGCCATTCCAGTCATTACTGCTATTGAATACTATTGTTTTTCACCTCTATTCACCTCTCTGCTCGATCAAAGATTGCGATGGTGATGCCCGTGACAACTTATGACTTGCGCACCTCAGCTTTTGTTCTGCTTAGGACCGCTCATATTGCTTTTTTGTCATTCTTCCTCCTGCTCCTGGGAGGCCTGAGCCCTAAGCCCTAAACTCTGATCTTCGGAGGCCCTCAGCCACCTCTGGACCCTGGCACTGCGCAAGCTGGACTTGGAGGAGATGGTCTTTGCTTTTTAAGTGCATGGGGGGGAGGGGGAAGGGCATGGAGAGATTCATTAAAGTCTGCCCCCCAAAGCCTATAAGCTCTAAACCTTCAACCCTATAAGCCCTAAACCTTCAACCCTATAAGCCCTATAGTTTACTTTCATTCGCAAGCCTGAAGTGGTGTGAGTCCCAGGAGAATCTCTGTTCGCTGCGCTTGCGCAACATCCCCGTGGCGGTGAAGCCTTCCGAGGCGACCGCTAAATGCCAGCTTTCCTAGAAGCCCAGGTACCAATATAGTAGGTCCTTGGGTTATAGATAGTATAAATTCATATAGGGACTTAAGTACAGGAACCCAAGATATAGGTAACTGGGCTTCTAGGGGCCAAAAGGGACTGGTAGATTCAGGGTTTGAGACTTGGAGTTCAGGGCTTGGAGATGGGGACATACAGAGTGTAATTGGTTTAGGGTGTAAAGTTTAAGGTTTGGGGCCAGGGATTTAGGGGCGGATGTAAGGGTTTGAGATCTAGGGGCTTGTGATCTAGGGTGTGCGGCTTAGGGGTCCTTGAACTGGATTTGTTTGATTGCACCTTGGACCAAAGCTTGTCGTTCCATCAAGGTTTCGCTCGTCGCTCGGGTGTGTTTCAAATTCCATTTGAATCTCCGCTCAGGCAGCAGGTCGTTACACAAACCTGATTTTGAAGCTTGTGGGAAATTTCTTTGGGCTGGCCCTCTTGCAGCCCTGAAGTGAAATCCAAGACAGAAAGCCATGCATCACGCCATGCATCACGTGATTATCGGTATATCATACGCATATATATATATCGTAGCATTGGGAGCAGGGTATTTGACATTGTTCTATCATGGGGAATGCATGCGAAGCACCGGCATATTATACCCTAGATTGTCAAGCTCATGCAGGAAGAGATGTCAGAATGGGACCGCGAGCTCATACGCCGCCTGGTTTCCTTTGGTTCCAGAAGTTGAGATGTGCGAGGAAGGAGTTGTAGCTGAGATACCTCGAATAGTACCAGTAATATCTCCTTAGTGCCCCAAGAGGTCACCAGCATGCTGACGGCCACAAGTATGCTGACAGTTACCCTCATGGTTGAGGATGAAGGATGTTGAGTTGACGTGGGCAAAGGGCTGTTGTCACAGTGCGGCTTATGCTTTCTGGTTGCATTTGCCCGGTTTTGAAGCCTAATGCAAAAAGTATGCTGCGTCCTTGCCAACAGGTGCCTGCCGCAATGTCGATCTGCTGAAATGAGCTCCTTCTAGGGACCAGGCTTCTCCTTGAACTATGCTCCAGACTCTAAACTCTGGGCTTCTGAAGAGGATTTACCTCAAGTGTTGAAGAACTGCGCTGAGACCTCGGAGTGTAACTGGTTGAGTTACCGAAGGTCTTTCCTTTAAAGTATTTGCGCCGCACCCAGGCTTGGTAAATCCGGTGCACCCGCCGCTCAGCTTCAGCAATGTGAGCAACGGGCATGTCTGGATCAACATCTGGGTCTTGATTGGGGTGTTCCGGCAATCTGAGAGGCCTGCATAACCTGCTGCCGATTCACAGGTTGAGTTCGGGCAGCAAGACGGTCGATGGTGGAAAGGAGTATCTTAGAGCTAGGTCCACAGGGTCTGCTTCTCGGAAGCCATCGTCCCGCGTTCTTACCCAAATCCTATAGTTGGGTTGCCGTGAAACAAGTCTACGTTGGTGCCCTGGTAAGACTCAGATCCGAATTCCGCGGGCCGCAGGTTCATGCAAAAAGCCTAGAGGAGCGCGCGCGATTTTGCTTTGTCCGGGCCCAGGACAGTTACGTCAGCAATGAAGTACAAAGCTCAGAGCACTTAGAGATGGAAATGGCCTCCCATCCCAGGAAGTTTCCAGCTGGCAGCTGCTCAAACTTCCTGATCACCGGCGAGTCGCTCGGTGAAGTTGTCCCTTCAATATGCACACCCCGGAAGTTGAATAATGGGGTGTGGTCGCATTTTCAGCATACAGGACATATTGTGCTGGGGCCATACCTTACAAGAAAATCAATGCAGCATACGCTCCAGCATGTAACCACCAGCGTACATCAGCCTAAAGTACCGGGTTCCTGACTGCAATGAGAGGTGGTGAGGCAATCTTGTCATAAAGTGCGGTGGGATGCTCTATCAGGAGAAGAAAATAGGAAGGGGTTGGGCATCTTTGTTCAGGTAGGCTCCCTGGCACTCACTTCTCCAAAAGCCGTGGTTCAAAACCCAAAGCCAAAAGCCATCAGCCATGAACTCTTAAGCCCAAACCCAAAGGGGGGTTTCCTAAAATTAGGGTTACCCTTTTGGGGGTCCCAAGAAAAAGGATTACAGTATTTTTTTGGGGTCTATATTGGGGTACCCTACTTTTGGCAACCTACCAAATGCCCTTGGAACATCACCCTAAACCCTAAACCCTGAACCCACCGTTCTACTTGGAGGCTCGTGGGACTTAGTAACTACTTATAACTGGGCTTATAAACCTAATTATAATCCCCCTAAAAGGGCTTGTAGGGGTTACCACAATTATATAAGTAGGGTTCTAATCCCAGTTGTAAGTAGTTACTAAGTCCCATGGGCCTCCAAGTACTTTCAACTGAGGCTCGGAGAGCTCAGGCGGAGATACAAGGAGCCCGACTCTGCGCTACATTTGGGGGGTTTCCCTAAATCTCGGTGCTTTTTTGGAGATCCCTAGGATAAGGGTTTAGGGTATAGGGTTTAGGGTTTAGGGCTTAGGATTTAGGGTTTTGGATTTAGGGTTTAGCGGCTAAACCCTAAATCCTAAACCCTAAACCCTAAAAGTTTAGCATACTGGGGTCTATATTGGGGTCCCCTAATTTTGGGAAACCACCATTTGGGGTCAGGGGGGACTGAACAAGTACAAACAGCCCTTCCGATACACATAGCAGACCTAACTGCGGGTCACAGGGGCACCGCGGGTGTATTGAGACCTTTGAGTCCGAAGTTTGTGAGGATTATACGAACTTTCTTTTGGGGATCTTGTGCGTTTCGTTGTTACCTGCCGGGAGACCTAGATCCAGTGTTCAAGCCCTCAGCGACGACTGGCAGAGTGTCAAATCAAACAGAAATCCATCCCATCTCCACATGCAGCTTGAGGGTTGCAACAGGGACTATGAGGCTTGTGTGTTTACTCAAGCATTCACATCAAAAGCCAGCAGCTCAAGCACAGGAACTGCTTTCGAACAACCAGCTCTTCCTAAGCCTCAAAACCAGCTAGGGCACTTCAATTTCTGGCTCGTGCCGGCTTAATGGGAGCGAGTCCAGTAGCGCTTGTCAATCAGGGGGATTTCTAGCAGGCAATTCGCAGGTCCGGAGCCTGCTACAGCTTGCGGCTTGATGGCGCACGGACGATAAGTTAGGAATGGGGGACTCCAGCTTACGGATTGTAATGGAGACTATAACAGGTTGGGTATGAGGATCCATCTTCCCCATTCCCAACTACGGGTGAGTAAGACGGGGGTTGAGAGTGCAAGGCTCTGGCCTCGTGATTCTGGGTTGATAACCTGAGTGTGCATACACAACAGTAATTTTGTAAGTTCAGAAGGTGTGTATGTGCGCAGGACATTTCATTGTTATCTCAAGTCTTCATTCGCAGTCTTTTAACTTTTAACCCCAAGCCCTAAAGCAAGTGTAGACACATATTAATCTAGAACCCGAGTAAAAGTCATGCTTCAAAGAACAAAGGAATATGGTCTGCTTCAACATGTCATGAATCAGTTCAGAATAAGTGGCTGCTGAGCGCAGTTCCTAACACTCTACACGCCAAACCAGCATGCGATTCAGCTGACATCCACGCAGACAGGCAGACCGCATCCAAAAACCAAACTCGACAGCAGCTAGGAGGGCACCCTCCAGAAAAAGACCCCAAGAAAAGCCATACACAATCGCATCAATTTCGTTCGGCTCTTGATGGCCGAGAAGCTAAACATGCCAGTTCGCCTGAGCATCCTACGAAAACCAACGAACTGGAAGCAAGAAAGGCTTTTTGGAGCTACCCGAGCCCCTGATCGTCTTCCCTTAAGAAGTAGCATGTGCAGGACTTCGGCTATTTCAGCGTCAAACCCTCACGCGATTCTGCTGGCAATGTCCGCCGCGCCATTGACGTCTTCTGGCAGAAGCGTTGCTAATTGGACCCCACATGCAACTCCTACTGAGGGGCACTTTTAGATACTTCTGGGATTGCCTGGATGCAGGTACAGCGGTGCGTTCTTAGTTCGTTATCTTTTTTGGTTCTAGTTCATTCTGATTGAGGTGCTCCAAATGTGTTGGTGTGCCAGTTAGTTTATGCTAGGCAGTTGTCGACAGGGTCAGTTGTCGACAGGCTTCATTCAAGATAGAGTGAAGTAATTCTTGCCATCAGCACCGCTCAATTGTTTTCGGTATTCGGCCTCAGGGGTTCCGGATAGGCAAGCACCCAGATGTTGTGTGATTTTTGAAGCTTCTCGGGCGGCACGGATCCTGGTTCCTTCTCATTCGTAGCTCCTCACCTTGAGTTGACTATGCCGTTGTTGAAGGGTTCTTCTTACTTCTGAAAGCAGACAGGTAGCCAAGGGCAGTCGTAGCTGCGGCTCAGATGCTGAAGCACTACTCCTGATACATATCCGCACTGTAGACTGCCTGGTGAAAGGCCAGGTATGCCTCCTCTTGCTACACTTTCCAGACCTGCGACCCACGTTTCCCAGAGCCCCTCAATCAGGATATTTCCGTAAGGGGTTTTGGTCGCAAGGCAGAGTTCATACATCCCCCCCGCTCCCTGCAGCATTGAGAATTCTTATAATCAGCATCCGCAAGAAGGTATCTGCCAACTTGAATGATGTCCAGAACCATTGGTACACGCCCTGAATGCTCGTGCTAGAATTTGTAAGAGGCTCATGCATCTTTCTGTTACCCTGACATAATATGGTTAGTTTCCGAAAATAAGGGGACCCCAATATAGACCCCCAAATACTATAATCCTTATTATGGGACCCGCAAAAGGTACCCCAAAATTTGGGAAACCCCCATATCTTTGCATAATCTCCAGCAAGCCCTTTGGGACGGCTCATGGTCTCGAGTCGACCTGCAAGTCGGGCAGAAGAATTGACATATGATGTCTATAGTCTATGCTACATGCGCTAGAAGGCTTCAGGGCATTATCCGAGTCTTAAAGCTTTTGGTTAAGATACAATAATCAATGCATGAACTCCCCACCTGGTCCATATACATTTTATGTGCAAGAGCTCTCTGGTAAACCCTCGGCCATGTCATAAACCCACTAGATGATCCTTGACTGATACAAGCATGGTCTGCTATGAGCGCAGTTTTCATCCCTGTGTACTCGCCACAGCACTCAACACCCCTAGCACCTCATGTTGCAACCCACTCTTTGTAATTGCTCACGGCAAAACATTTGTGTACATATCATTGAGGGTTCAACCCGGGTTCGTTGAGTTCCACGGGGTTCGGCTAACTTCTGTGGCTTCGACAACCTTAGGCTTACCCAGAGAGCGTACTCACGGTACTCACAGAAATGTGCAAGCATGTCTTTTGCCGCAGTTGTTCCATGAAGCTTCTATCCGATAAAGTTAGCAAGTCCAGGTTATTGCCGAGCGGGGGCTTGCGGATACGCCCTGGTCCAAGCGTCGGTACCAGGCGCCTGGATGCGAGGTAGCTCGGAATTTGTTTCACAGATCGTCATAGCCATATATGTATACAGCAACTACATGTTGTTCGTGTATGTTTAGCCATACCCCTGGGACTCACAGCTACCCTGTGAACCTCTAGGCATATGTATCTCTACACATAGATGTACGCAAACAGAAATGTATGCATGTGGCAGTTTCCCAAAACAGGGGGACGCAATAGAGAAACCCAAATATTTTCAACCCGATGTAAGCCCTAAACCCTGAACCCTAAACTCTAAACCCATATATTATGGGGATCCTTAAAAGGGTACCCCTAATTTCGGGAAAGTCCCATGTGGTACAGAGCAAGGTTTGGGTCCGAAGGTTTGGAGCCGAGAGCGCTGGAAGAGGTGTTTAGGATTTCAGTTTGGGGTTTGGGGTTTAGGGTTCGGGGTGTAGGGTTTTGAGGGCATTGGGGGCTGCTCCAGGTCGAGCTTAGGTCCTAATACAAGGGCCTAAATGGTTACCAAGAGTATGGTTCCATATTCCTTGTATGATCATAGTATATGGTACCTCAAATGCACTTCAACATGATATTGGTAATCATTTAGGCCCCCTGTA